CACAGCCCTATTTTTCTCACTGCTTACATCACCGTGGAGGAAACACGCTGATCCTCTCCACCCTTAAAAGGAACTATCTACAGACGTCTGTTCCCTCCTGGTTCTGGAGCCTCCCTGTTGGAAAAGACATATCCTTATCCAGGAAAAGTAAGTCAAGGTTGCCCAGGAAAATCTGTGCAATGTCTGAGCTCAGCTTTCGGTTTCTAGAAACTTCATTTCTCCCACCACCCCCTCTGTATCACCATACAGAAAATCAACTACAGTAGCCCAGACACCCAAGATTTTATTCTCCCTGTTCCAAGCCCAGACGCCGGAGGTGCATGCCTGGAGCATTAAGAAAGTCATCAGGAGTGTGAGCTGTGTTTTGTGTCTTAATCCCGTCTTTATCCTGAAGCTTTTATTCTCCTGGTGCAAGTGGTTTGTCTACCTCCAGGCACCCACATTCCAGGTGAGAAGAGAGAAGGTCCAAATATTACTCTTTCCCTTTTATCAGCAAAACAAAAACTACCCAGGAAAACCCAGCCCATGGGTTTCAGCTGACATCTTATTGTTTGGAACTGGATCCAAGCCCACGTGGCCGCCCAGATGTATCCAGGTCACGTGCCAACCTGGGCAATAGTTGGGCCTGGCTGGTAATTCAAGGAGGAGGATGACGAGGGCATCTCAGCTGCACCCAGCTTGCTCTGTGCCAAGTCAGGTAAGTTCACAAAATACCAACCTCTGCCTCTTGCTTCATACATCTCCCTTCTGAGCTCCTGCTCGCCCTCAAGCCTGAACCTGACCAGGAATGCACCCAGCTCTGCCACTGGCAAGACTCAGTGTAGGGACAGCTCTTGCATCTTTGGTGAGTGGGGACCCAAACGCACGGCTCCTCCTGAGCAACTTTCACCGTGGTTTTAGCAAATGTTACAAAAGCTCACTACAACTGTGAAGAGCAACTAGAAAGTACTCGAATGCCTATGCGTAGTAAAAATGGATAAATAACTTGGAGTACATTTACACAGTGGTATACCATGCAGCAATGAGAGCGAAATGCTTACAGCCATAAACAAAAATCGGGATGAACCACGTAATATATAATATTGAGCAAAAGAAGCCAAACACAAAATAATAGGGTACACTGTATGATTTTGTTTATATAAATGTATTATACTTCCACAAATATATGTAAATAAATTTATATTTACATATATAAAATATATTTATATTTTATTAGCTCATAAACAGGCAAAACTAATTAATGGTGACAGACGTTATGAAAGTCGCTACACTTGGAGGGGGGTAGTGACCGCAAGGGGGACCCTACGGGGTCTTCTGGGGAGCGGATCAGGTTCCGTTGCTCCATCTGGGTGCTGGTCACAGGGTGGCTTCTGTTTTGAGAAAATTCAGTTTATGATAGTTAACATGCACATTTCTGTCTGCATATCATCCTTCAATAAAAAGTTAATTTAAAATATGAAAGGGCACCTGCGGCTGACACCGTTGGTTGTTCCTCCACGTCTCCTTCTTTGACGGGAGAATCCTGATTTTAACGAAGGAGCAGCCCTCCCTGTTTTGGGGGAGGTTCTCAGCTCAACCTCAGAGGGATAATCCTGATTGGTTCAAATCAACAAAGTTAATCCTATTCCCCACCTGTGATTGGTTTAGAAAAGGACACGTGACCCAATTCTGGCCAATAAGTATAAATGAGATTTTGCTGGGGCCTCTTCTGGAAAATGTCATTTTTCTCAAAGACACAGACCTGCTCCAGTGATTGATCTTGAGGAAGAAGACCTCACATGACAACCAAAAGAAGGGAGAGATGGAACTGGAGCCCTGATGTCCTGTGCCTGAGGCTGCCCTCCCCTGGATTTCTCGGTATGTGAGGTTCAAACTTTACTTACTACTTAATACAGTGTGAATCTCCTCTGACGTGTTGCCAAAGCAGCTTAACTAGCAGTGTCATTTTGGAAAATGTGCTCAAGACTGTCCCTTAACTAGGATGCTGTTCTTGTCTAGAGTTTTAAAAAATGTTCCAAATTTGAATCATATCTGTCACCTGGAATCATGTCAGTACTATTCACCCTATTTTTGCACCACGCCACCCATTCTGGCAACCCAACCTTTGTGGACTGTCCCCCCAAATTGTTGTGAGGACTTGCAAATGGCTGGGCACAAGGGGAAATGATGACAATTGTCATTCCATTGCTTTTATTAAAGTTTTCTTCTCTCACATGATTGACTGTTTAACCAAGAGCCACTTACCCCCTCTTCCTTTTTGGCAGAGACTGTACCCCGTGATAGAGAAATGCCAGAAACTCATTTTCCCAGGTTCTCTTGCAGCTGCAGCACCAGGCATCGGGACCCTCTCCAATGAGCGGTCACTGAGAGCCAACAATAAGTCTGGGTGGGGACAGGCAGGGATCCTGGAAAAGATTTTCTTTCCCAATGAAAAGAGCTCTGTCAGCAGACCCTCTCCTTACTACTTTTTGTTGCGGTGTGTGAGGATGTGATGCCTGGAGCTGTGGCAGCCATTTTACAACCATGAGGTTACAAGCCTAAGGGAGAAAGCTGACATGTTTTCTTCCCCCTGCTAGAATGTAAGCTGAAGGAAGGCAAGGTTCTTTTTTTTTTAATCTGTTTTGTTAATTACTCTATCCCAAGTGTCTGTAGTATTATGTGGCACTCAGAGGTGCTCATAGTTGAATAGATGGATGAATGAATACAGAGGATGGTAGAGATGAAAGATGAGTCCCTAATGACATCATTTAGAAATCACACCAACCACATTACTGCCCCCTTTTTGGGATTCTTGTTATGTGAAATAATAAATGTCCTATTACTTAATCCACTTGTAGTTGGATGTTTTGTTACTGATAAAATTCCTTAATGTGATTTCTTTTCTAGAGTGTTTGATTTCCTTCCCTGGAGTGACTTTCTGTACCAACCCCTGGGTACACTGTGGAATCTCAGGGCTGGCTGGATTGGCACACAAGATCATTTCATTTCAATCCTCTCATTTTATGGATGGGGAAACTGAGGTCAGAAAGAGTACAGCATTTTATAGAGCTCACTCAGACAGTGCTGAAGACTAAACATCTGTCTCTCGATGTGTGGTCCCACTCACTGACTACCATGCCCATGGCCTTCCTGGGGGCCCTGCCATGCCACTGCCATTGATGAAGGGGTGACTGGGGGATCTGTGTTGTACTACAGGGCCCCACATTTCTGGGCCACAGCGGATTGGACCCAGAGTCAGCATCTAGCCCTAGGAACAGCCGATCAGATCTTCTCTCTCTAGGGGCTGTGAGCTAAGAAAAGCCAGTACTTGGAACTGTTAGAGGGGAGATGCTCTGAGAGGCCATATGCCTCTCGATGTGACAGGAAACAGGAGAAAATGAGAAGGAAGAGACCAGGAAAGAAATGTCATTAGGGGAAAAGAGAGGGAAAAGAGGTAGAGCTCCCACAGGCAGCTGCTTCTCCTCTGACATCGTCCAATTTAAATTCATATTCTTTTATAACCCACCTCCCTTTCCTACCCTGGCCAATAAGCAGCTCCATTTTTATCTCCACGAAGAGCTAGAGTGATCTTCTTAGTGCCTGAACCAGACCGTGTCACCCTCTGGCTTAGAAACCCCCAGTGGCTTCCCGGCCTCTTTGGGAAAACAAGCAAACAAGAGTCCAGTTGTATTAGTGATATGTCTTCTCTCGGTTCCTGGAAAACGCCCAGCATGTCCGCGAGACACTTTGCATTTGTCTGTCTCTCTGTCTGGAGCACCAGTACCCCGGATGCTCATGAGCCTCGTCACTTTGCAGCCTGTGGGTCTCAACTCAAATGCCACCTCCTCAGAGAAGCCCACTGTATTAATGACAGTGGCTGCTGTAACAAATTATCACACATTCAGTGGCTTACAACAGCACAGATGACTTCTCTTACCGTTCTGAAGTCCAAAATGGGTCTCACTGGGCAGAAGTCAAGGTTGGCAGGGCTGGTTCCCTCTGGAGGCCCCAGGGGAGATTCCGTTCCCACGTCCTTCCAGCTGCTGGAGGCTGCCCACCCTCCCAGGCTCACGGCCCCTTCCTCCACCCTCAAAGACCACAGCGTAGCATCGTCCGTCTCTCTCTGACTGTGACCCTCCTACCTCCCTCTGACAAGGGCTGATCATACCGGGTCCACCCAGATGATCCAGAGTCATCTCCCCATCTCAAGATCCTTAACTCAATCACATCAGCGAAGTCCCTTTGCAATAGGTTATATATTCATAGGTTCCAGAAGTTAGAAAGAGGACATCTTGGGGCGGGGCATTGCACTCTCCTTGACCATCCAGTATAAAGAGATTCCCTCCCCCAACTTTCCTTGTCTTTATTCGTGCCCTGATCTTGTTTTATTATCCCACTTACATAATTATTAGAGTATGCGCACATTTATCTATCTCTTCATCATCTATATTCCACCATGGGAACGTGAGCTTCAAGAGGCAGGATTCTTTTCTGTTTTGCTGGATGGGTATCCCCAGCGCCTGGAATTGTTCCTGGCACAAAATAGCCACTAGATCAGCATTTATGACGAAAATGGAAAGTAGCTTGAGTGGATCTCTGTTTCTCACAACCCGAAGAACCTAACAGTCCAAACACAGGAGCCCAGCGGGGAGAAGTGGCTTGTTCGCCACTGCCGGGTACAGGCAGGAGACACACACAGAGTCTGCTTCTCCTTAGATGGTTTATTTCTGGGACTAAATCTGAGTCACAGCTGCAGAGAAGGAACGGACTCTGGGCTTGAGGATGGAAGCTCTGGGGAGACTGAGATGCACCTCCCGCCTGGCATTCTGGGGAATTGTCCCCAGGATAGGACTAGAGAGACAGGGTGAGTCCCCTGGTGGGAAAGTGGAGCCCGATGCCAGGAGGCGCAGGGGCAGGGGCTGAAGAGGTTAAGATCCTCCACATGCTTAGGAAGGAATGGGGTCTTCGAAGAGAGTCGGGGTCCCTGTGGGGGGGTGCCAGCCTGCTGGGTCCTGCATGACTCAGGCGTTGGCCTGGATGGTGTTGTCGATCCACTTGGAGAACTGGCAGAGGTCAGTGTAGACGCCGGGTTTGTTGGGCTGGGCACAGGGGTAATCACCCCAGGACACGAGTCCCTGCAATCTGCCATTGCAGATCACAGGCCCCCCGGAATCACCCTGTGGAGGGAGGGGGGAAGAAGGAGACACAAGGGCCCGGAGACACACAGGTGGACAAGGTCCAGGGCGGCAAGAGACAGACACACAGAGAAGACAGAGAGGGGGACGCAGGCAAAAAGAGAGAGAAGGACGGGGAGAGTGTTATTACCATTTGACCCCAAGTCCAACCTTTAGAAACCCCATTCATCCCTCTCTGCCCAACCCCCCAGCCTCTTCTCCCAACTCCCTGCTGTCCAAACATCTCCCTGGGGTCTGCGACCCCTCCTCTCAGCGTCTCGATTCTTTGTCTCTACTCCACCGGGTCTGTCTCCCCGATCCTGTGTCTCTCTGCCCTTCTATTTCTCTCACTCTCCCCTCCAGCCTGTGTATGCCTTATTTCTCCTCCTGGGCTCCTTCCTCCCTTCCTCACTCTTCCCCAACCCATCCTGTACTTATTCCTCCCTTTGCAGAAACACAGCCCTCAGCCCCTGGATGACGCCTTCTCCACCTGGCGCCGTTGATAATTCCTTCTCGCGGGTGCCGTCCCTTGCGCGGTAGGATGTTGAGCACCGCCGGCCTCTACCCACTGGACGCCAGTAACACCCCCTCCAGCCAGTCGTGACATGCATTTCATGTCTCCACGCATTGCCGAAGGCCCCCGCATTGAGAGCTCGTCCCTTGGACTAATTAGCGGTGCCCGTCTTCAATTCCCCATAGCTCCCTAGAACTGCCTCCCCTCAATGATACTCACCACTCTTTACTGTCATTTCTTACTCACGTTTATGCAAATTATGAATAATTACACAGGGTCCTGGCATCATAAGGAAGCCTAAGACTTGCGTTTTTTCCCCGTTAGCAAATACTGTTTCAAGGCAAACTAGCTTAGCTGCCTGGACCTCGAAATTTCAATTTTCTCATGATTTAACTTTTCTCATTATTTTTTGTTTAATACTCCTGAAGAGTTTTTTTGGGGGGGGTGGGGGGAGACTGTTAGTTAACTGCTCTGAGCCTTGGCTGTTTGCCTGTAAAATAAGGCTAATAAAAATGGTTAAATGAGTTGATGCCTGTTAACTACTTAAAAGTGTCCAGTGATTAGTTGCTACTATTATTATTATACTATTAATATTAGTGTTGTTATAGTTGTTATTATTTCTTGCTTGTAGCTTTTAGTGGTCATGCCCAGACCGCAGGCTGCTATGTAAAAGCACCTTAGGTCTGGAAAAACAGGATACTAACCTTGGCTACAGAAAGGCTAAATGGTGAAAATGCTTCAATTTGAATTAGATGTGCCTTATTTTTCTGATAAAAATCCCCTCCCCACCTTCCACCCCTACATCCCGGTGTTTATAGTGTTAGCTAGGGACAGAGAGGAAATTGGGAAAGTGTTAGCTAGGGACAGAGATGAAATTGGGAGACCTGGGAAGTTGCTGCAATTGTCTGGTTTGCAAAATTTGCAAAATTGGCTTTTCACAGCCATTAGCACGGGACTGAGTGCCACTTAAGACCCCAGCTTATCAAACATCAAAACTACTGATGAAAAGTACATCGTGCTATTGCAAAGCTTGTTAATGTACATCCCTCCAGAACCACTCTCTGAAATTACTCCAAGCAGCTTCTTGACCATAGAGTTTTCTGGCTTTTTTTTTTTAAAAACTTTTTATTCCTCCAGCCCTTCTGACAACTTTGTAACCTATCTGCTGTATTAAATATTCTCTTTTTAAAATACCTAGCATGGGTTTCTCTTTTCCTTCTTCAAGATATTTTACTAGCATTTGTTGGAAAACTATTATATTACATATTTTGTTGGAATAAGACACTAACTACCACATCCCTGAAAATTGCCAAAATAAATAGGCAAGACTAGGATGTCTATTTTGTGAAGAGTCCCCTCTTAGATGCAGTGTGTTTATGCAGTGCCCAGCCTGCCCAACCATACAAAACAACCTTGATCTCTCCCTCTAGACCTGTGCCGTCTAATACAGTAGCCACTGTGAAACGTGGCTAGTCCAAATAGAGATTTGCCATCAGTGTAAAACACACACTGGCTTTCAAAGACTCAACAAGAAAAAAAGAAAAGAATGTAAAATATCTCATTCATAATAGTTTTATGTTAATTTATGTTTTGAAATGATTGTATTTGGGGCATATTGGGTTAAATAAACTATACTATTAAAGTTAATTTCACCTGTTTCTCTTTTACTTTTTTAATGTGGCCACCAGAAAATGTAAAATGACATGCAGCTCATGTTATATTTCCACTGGACATCACTGCTGTAGAGTATGAGCTCTGTGTGAACAAGAATCCTAACTGTTTTGGTCATTGCTAGAATCCCAGCCTTTAGCAAAGTTCTAGGCTGCCAAGGCGGCACTCGGTACGTATGTGCTGAATACATGGAGAAGTCTCGAGTCCTCACCTGGCAGGAGTCCCGACCTGCCTCGTCGCCGGCACAGAACATGGTGCGATCTATCTGTCCTGGGTAGGCCTTCTTGCACGTGTCCTGACTTAGCACAGTGATATTCAAGCACTGGAGGACCTTGGGAAAGTTCACTGTCAAACAGGAACACAATGAGAGGCGGAGAAACAAGGGAGGGGCAGAGATGGGTGGGCATGGACAGGAACCAGACCCTCACCTTTGGGGCTGCTGGTCGTCCCCCAGCCAGAAACCATGCAGTTGGTGCCAGCAGGTACGCAACGGGAGGAGACGTTGATGGGCTTGACGTCCTGCGTGACACGGACTCTTTTGTTCAGTTTGATTAGCATGAGGTCATTGGAGTGGGCCGGGTGATGGTAGCCAGGGTGGGGGACGGACTTGAGCCCCCGGAACAACTGCTGCCCAGATTCATAAACGGGTGACAGGGATTGGTGGCCAAGGCGGACTCTGAAACCTCTGAGAAATACGGTGCAGATAAGCACCACCCGATCCCTATCCCCACATCCAATGCCAATCCCAACCCCGCTGTCAATCCCAGCCCCAGTCTTCCTCCACCCTTAACCCCAGGCCCAATGCCAGCCCCAGGTCCATCCAGGCCTCCAACCCCATGCCAACCCCAGCCCAGTCACAGCTCCAAATCTATTCCCGTCCCATCCCCAACCTTAATCCCAACACTAACCTTTCCTCACCCAGAAACCATCAACATATGCATCCCCAACCCCAAATGCAACCATCCCACCCCACTCCAAACTCTAATCCCACCTTCAATTCCACAACTGTTCCCAATCCCAACCCTATCCCAACTCCACCTTATTCCCATCCCAATCCTCACCCACCTTCAATTTTAGAGCTGACGCTAATTGCGTCTCCAGCCCGAACCAATAACATGCGTATGCTCAACCCCAACCTCAACTTTAACCCCAGTCTTAATCCTTTACCGACTCACGAATCATCTCCCACCCCCCACATTCTGCCATTCCCCAACTCCAAATCAGCTACCTCCAACCTCATTCTTAACTCTGACCCCAATCCTATCTCCAATCCCACATCTATTTCCAATCCCAATCGCATCCCTGATCCCATCTCAAGCCCATCTTCACCCCCATCTCACCCCAATTCTAAAATTAAACACCTAATCCCATCTCCATTCCAAGCCATTCAATATATGTATGTTTCTAACCTCAGATCCAAGCCATCCTAACTCCCATCCCCCACCACAACCCTCTGCCCAGTCTAACTTCACCCCACCCACTCTCCTGCCCAAGTCCATCCTCTATCCCATCCCCGACTCTACCTTTCCTGCTCCCTCATCCCCAGCCCACCGCCCCCAGACCCTGGTCTCCATCCCGGCCCCAATCCAGCCCGCGGCGTGGAGCCCCCACTCACTGCTTCCTGCAGTGGGCGGCCGTGAGCAGCCACTGTGGGTGCACCAACACGGCCCCGCAGTAGAGCTGGTTGGGCCCCAGCAGCAGCGCGGCCTGCCACGGCTGGGAATGCTTCCCGCAGTCGGACCCGTTTATGATGCGGCTGCTGCTGTCCTGCCCCCGAGTGTCCTCCTGGGGCCCAGCTCCAAGGTCTCGGTTGCTCGCAGAGTGCCCGGCGGAAGAAGGGTTGTCACAGGAAACATCATTTGCAAGAACAGGCTCTGGGGGTCAGGAAATGGGTGGGCGGGGATAAGGGGCGGGGCTTGTAGTCAGGGGTGGGGCTTAGACTCAAGAGGCGGGACCAGCTGTCCCAGACCTGGGAAGGGAGCTTATAATGGGGGCCGGGCCAGGACTTTAGGGGCGGGGCCAGGGCCACAGAGGCGGAGCCCAGAGTATAAGAGTGGAACCGCGGAAGAGTGAAAGAGGCTTAGACTCAAGGACAGAACCCAGGTTTGGGTTGGGTGACCGAACTCTGACTGGACCTCACAGATGGCTGGGATTGGCTAGAGCTAAGTGAGTGGGACCAGAGGAGGGTAAAATTGGGTACGGAATTCCTGGACAACCGCAGGGGCAAAGCCGGGATTGTGAGGGTGGGTTCTGGGACTTCTATGGAGACGAGCGCTTTAGGGAAGAACTTGGTCTCAAGAAGCGGGGCCAGGCATCAGTGAATAGGGTCAGGACTGGAGACAGCAGAGTCCAAGATGGGGGAGGGGTTTGGAATCGACTTGGCAGGGCCAAGGCCAGGGTCACAAGTGGGTCAGTCTATCCTATAAAGAACCCTGATTTTGGAAGGGGGGAGGGGGCTGGGCTCTAGGAGCTGCCCTCAGCAAGGGGGTGGAGCCTGGCCCAAAGGGGCGGGGCATGGAGACGGGGCCTGATGGGGGTGGGGTGGGTAAGGGCTGACTAGATAAAGTCTGGTCTGGGGGCGTGGTTGAGGAAAGGGGGTGGAGTCAGAGCTCATGGGCAGAGCTAGGGATGGGGGGCAGTAAGAGAAAAAGGTCTCAGCTTGGTGGGCTGCGTGGAGGGGGAGAGCATGGCAGGATTGCTGAATTCTCAGACGCAAATGTGCCTCCTGAATCCTGCCAATACCCCCCACAGACCTACAAACAGACGCAGATGCCCCATTCCTTCATGAGTCATCAGTCCCCGTGCCGTGTCCATTCACTGGTTCATATTCTTGCTGATGATGCAGAGAAGCGAAGCCCTGGCGCCGCCGTCATTCACGAACACGCTCCAAGGAACACGCACGCAGCTCCCATCACAGCCGAGCACGCACGCAGCTCCGCAGACAGGCACGCGTTGCCTCCAGCTAATGGTGCAGCTTTTTCTAGCCATATACGCACGCTACGCTCCAGGCACAGACAATTTGGGGAAGGCTTGCAGGATCTCACGCACCCATCCACAGTGTCTCAGTGACATGCACAGGTGCCCTGTACGCATAGATGCAGACTACCACACACTTCTGCACACAGACGCGTTGACATGGTGACAAGGTCCCGCTCAGAGGACGTTTGCACGCCGGTCCCCTACATGGCACAGTGCAAGTCATCCAGCATCCAGCTTCACACAGCCACCATCTCAGAGAGACAGCCACTTCTGCCACTCAATCCCTCCAGACAGGGACAGGAACCCCAGACACGCGGCTGTGCCGTCACACGTCCGGTAGCATCCGCTCAGCCTCGCACGAACACACAGTCACCGGGTCACCCTTCCATAGAGCCACGAACAGTTACACGGTCACGAATACAGATACCCAGAATGCTGCACCCAGCCACAATCATGCAAGCACAGTCACACGTTTTCATGGTGACACCACTTTTGTCGTACGCGATCCCCTGACACAGGAACGGGAACCCGGATACCTGCAGCCACATGCAAAGCCGAGCAGCCGTACATAGAGTAAGCATTCCCAGCGTGCATTCACCCACACAGCTGTAGAGCCACACGCGACCTGCAGTGCACACACACCCAGCCGCCCAGTCACACACACAGCCTCAAAGGGCCAGTTCCACCTGCCACCCGAAGTCGCCTGATATGGGAAAATGTAACCCCCCACCGCAAACACAAACAGTGGCAGTCACACGGCCACACGCAATGGCGCAACCACAAATACAGGCACAGTCTCACATCCTCCCAGCCCTGGGATCATGCTCGGTCTTACACAGCCCCCCCAGGGGACAGGCACTCCAGTGCCACATAGACAGTCACCGGCAGTCGCCCCCCACAGGGGTTCTGTTTACCTGTGACCCCCAGAAGCAGGGCTGTGGTCAGAGCACCCAGCATCCACATCCTGGCAGGTCCTGCTGTAGCCATGGCTGCTGTACCTGGTGGGGGCGTGTCAGAGAGTGCGGAGACCCAGACAATTCTGGGAGCTCTTAACCCACTTCTTCCTCCCCTACTTCATTTCCAGGGGCAGAGGGGAAGCGCGAGGATACTGCCCCACCATCAGCGCCGAGTTGAGACCCAGGCACTACAGAGTTGGGAGAAGACTCTAGCAGCCTCCAGTCGGGCACAGGAGGGAGGACAGAGAGAGAGAGATGGAACGCCAGACCGCAGACACCTCCCGGAACCGCCTGCTGAGTGCTGAGCCTCCCCGCACCCCAGGCCTCACCTGCCTCTTCCCCAGGTAGGGGGTGGGGGACCTGCTCTCAGCTCAGCCGAGGACTTCTCAGGCCTGTGCCTTCCTGCCGCCGCCGCCGCCGCCTCGGCTCTGGGCACCCGGCCTGGGTTATAACCGCCCACTGGTCCCTGGGGCGCATTCCCGGGTAGTGAGGCGCCCAGTCCGGCCTTAGCAATCACTCCTCCGGCTCCCCTCACCTCCGCCCTGGAGCACCCGGTCCCGAATGCCACTCCCGGCCTCGCTGGCTGCGGAGGATGGGGAGGGGTCTCGGAAGTCAGACCAGCCCCTCCCCCGCCTGCCCCAGCCCCGTGGGGGATCCTGCTTCTCACCAGCTCTGGGTCGCTCTTCTTGGAGCAAGGGTTTCTTTCTTCCTTCTCTGCGCCTTTCACCCATTCCGCCTCTCTCTGCAACCTCTTCACTCGTCTTTCCATCTTTATCTCTTTTTTTTCAGTCTATCCTCCCGTCTCCGGGGTTCCTCCCACCCCAATCTTCCTATCTCAGTGTCTGCACCCACTTAGTCGCATATTCTCTCCCCCCACCTTAGGAGCCCTGTTTCTCTCTTTTTGTCCTAAGTGTGTCTGTCGCCTTGTTCCTCCTTGTCTCTCCGTGCCTCTGTGATTCTCTTTTTTTAAATTGTTCTGAATGATTTATTTGTCAGATACACCTTGCAATGCTCAAGCCTTTTATTTTCCTTTATTTGACTTTTTTGCTTTTTGTAAACAACTTTTTTGAGGTATGAGCGAGGTACAATAGACTGTGCGTATTTAAAGTGTACAATTTGACACACACACGTCAAACCATCACCGTAATCGAGGTAGTAGACGTACCATTCACCCCCAAAGTGTCTTCCTGCCCCTTTATGTGTGTCTGAGATTGTCCATAAATCTTTCTTTATACCTCTGTGTCTTTGTATCTTTCTCTGTCTATCTTATGCCCCTCTTTTCTCTGTGACTCTGATTCGTCCCCCCCTCCACCATCTTTCTCTCTCTCCCGCCCTCTGCATTTTGGGCTGGGGGGACTTAGGCCACTTTGCAGAGGAATCCCCCAGCACCGTCTCCTGCCCTCACCCTGAGGCCCAGGCCCCAGGGCAGAAAGAGGCAGGGCTCCTGTCTGGGGGCCCCCCCTACAGGTGCTGTGGCCTGGCTGGTGTAGCCAGACATGCGTGAGAGAGCTGGGCAGGGCCACCTATGGATGCAGAAGGAGGCCAAGGAGCCAGAATAGGGGCGGGTGGCTCCTGACCTTTGGGGAAATGAGTTTTGCGTGGGGAGCCTGAAAGGTGCTTCTCCCTCCCCCATCCTGTGTCATCTGAGGCTGCCTCTCCTGGTCTCTTCTCCATTCCAGCTCTTCTTTCTGTCTGCCTCCAGCTCTCTGCATCTGTCTCTGACTGTGTCTCCATGTCTCTGTCCCCACCAGGAGGTGACAGCTAAATATTCCTCTGCAGTGTGCCAGACCCAGGTATGTCTGGGAACAAAATACCAAAGACACCTGAAGACGCTGTCCTGGCTGAGCTCTCATTCCTTGAGGGCAAGAGCTGAGCTATCTTGCTCACATCTGTCATCCAGCACCTGTTGAATGGGAGGTTTTAGAGCCCTTGAGGCTGGTTTTAGCACACAGGAAAAAAAAAAAAACCCAAACAACAAAAACCTATTCTAGGGCCAGTTGCGGTGGCTCACGCCTGTAATCCTAGCACTCTGGGAGGCCGAGGCGGGTGGATTGTTTGAGCTCAGGAGTTCGAGACCAGCCTGAGCAAGAGTGA